ACTTCTTTGAGCTGCAAGGGACCTGAATGATGGTATTACAGGGGATTTCCGGCTTTCCCTTTATGAGTGTGAGTTGAGGCCTCACACTGGCAGTGGGACAAATACCAAGAAGTAGAACCAAAGTAAAAGCTGAGAAGCCCAGCAGCAAGCCGGAGGGTCCTCTGAAGGTGGAGTACTCAAATGGCTGCAGCTGCTCCTGGCTTCAGCAACACAGGCAAAGACCGCTGCTTTTGGATTGTATGAGGGCAGTTGCAAGGCTGAGCACAGAATTTCCAGACGTCATGTAAGAAAATTTACGAGCAGAACCTCAGAGAAGGACGACACTCTCAATTCACGGAAGCCCGATGAAGCCCGCACACCATCCTAATTTGCTACATGGTGAAGTGATATGAAGTGCTGCTTGTGTTGTGCTTAGTATAAGCCATACCGTCCGCACACTGAGTTCAGACAGCGAGGCAGTACTGGGCCTGGTCCCCGTGATGCCAGCGGAGGGGCCCCTGTTCCCAGATTACGATTGCCTGAAAGTTGCCAGAAGCTCAGCACCTTAGCGAGCCTGCCTCTTGACGCGTTCTTTGGCAGTCTGTGCTGTTATTCAACAGTCGCTACCTGCGGACAGTCGTTGGGAGCTAGGAGTGATGCGACGTGTCATAGGCTTTAGAAGGCAGAGAGCTTTTTGTGGATGCCTCCGCCCACTTTTATCCCCGTGGCCGCCTCTGCAGGGTGTTCTTCATGGCATTGACTGGCCAAACTGGCCGTGCACTCAGACTACTCAGACCAGAGGCACTCCTCTTTAGTGCGGGGGGTAGGTGTAAGCACCATGACCATCAGAGACGTAGGGGGGAAAAAGCAGTTGTTGCCAAGCGCTGGCAGGCTATCAATCTACGAAAAGGCTGCGACCGGAAGAATCTGAAGTGAACATGAAGATCTCAATCATAACCAGATCATTCGCAGATGCTCTGCATGCACCACCGTGGTTCATTGCCATGGGCAAAACCTTGACTGGGCAGGTGCCGCCAAAAGCATGGGCAGACGCAGGATCAAAGTGCCTAAGACGCATCTGAGAACAGCAATTCTTGGCTCAAGCGTCTAGCGCAACCTTGAACGGCAAGGTATCTTGAGCTGTTCATGGATTCCGGCGACCAGGAATACTTCAGCCGTTGCCCCAGGGGGAATTCCCCGCCACACTCCCAGCCAGTTTGCCGCAGGTCCGAGACAGGTTCAGTAACTCGCATGTCTTGATAGCCTGTGAGGTTACCAAGCCAGTGCAGGGCATCACCTAAGAAGCCAGTCCCACAAGCAGCAAACAAGCACCTCATCATGGCAGTAAAGTGGTTGCTGGTGGTCACACTTGCTTTTGGATCCTTCAGATGTTCGCCAACGGAGCGAAAAGTAATCAAAGAACTGCGCAAGCCAAAACATGATTCGTCAAAACCACAGAGGCAGTGGTAGGGACGGTTTTACCTCGGTGTAATGTATTATAGTGGTTTCCATTGTCTTGTCCATTATCCCTCTTTAATATAATTAACCCCAATATGATCCCCATATTATCCCTATAAACCCATGTAGTTTCCATTTTCTTTTCCATTATACCAATATATCCCCTATGTATTATACGCAGCCTATAGGCGTCAGAGATTTGGCCAAGTCGAAGCAAGGCTGGTGGAAGGCCTGCCCGCTGGAGCCCCAGGCTGTCCGTCTTTTCATCTGGGAAGAGCCTTGAATCTGAAAACCATTATGTGGGGACATAAGGGTGATGTAGGGGATATACTGATATATATATATACAGGGAATATATATATATATGTATAGGGAGAATGGAAAAGATAATCGAGACTACTATTTAGGGTTTAGGATGATGATGCGGATTCCAGTCCATATTGTTATTGTTGAGGTGGGCCATAATTGAAGCCTGTGCGCTTGACTTGGCCGATGCTCAGCTGTGCGAAGTTGCATGCGGGTAGCCGAACATGTAGCGGCTATAGCGTCTGGGATCTCAGAAAATGCTTGGACCACTTGGAGATTTCAAAACAAGAGCACCAAAAGACAACAACTTACCGCGGAAGGCAAGGCCTGAGAACCAATTTGCTGGTTTGAGTCGCCATGGCCTCTACGTTTTTCGCGGCAATCATCCTGGCCATCTGTGAGGCAAGCTCCCACGCCACTTTTGTGATGCTTATCTAGCCCGGCACTTTCTCCTACGAATGGTGACATGCATCTGCAGTCGCAGGACGTTACATGCATGTGCAATATACCACGGGCAGAGCTTCTCGCCTGGAGGCTGAACTGGTGCAGGACTTCCGCATCACTGGCTGGGCCATATCTCGATGCCCGACTATCACACTGTGCATAGCTTGTGCCTGTTGCTTGAGCCGGGCGTGCGTGTGGGCAACATGAAACCTCAGGACAACTTGTTCCAGCACAAGAACTGCGGTCTGTATCTGTGCCTTGGCCAGGTCAGTGCTGATAGTGTTGAGCTTGAGTGGTATCTCAAGCGAAGACATGATGGAGTCCAAAAACCAACTTAGCAAGGCTAAGCTGGAGAGCTTGCTTACCGAGCATGGTAGACGAGCTTTTGGAGACGACGGGTCGAAGGAGCTTCTGTGGCTGCTTGCCAGTGCCAGTTAGAATGTACGGAAGCAGGAAGTCCGCTTCACCTTTGCCGTGCATGAGTTGGATGGCACTCCTCCTGCAAGTAGTCAGTTCTAGCTTGCGGGATGGCGGATGCACTGCTCTGGCCAGACACTGTGAACGACTTCGTCGCCAAGGAGACAGGTGCGCTCTGGCAACAGGCCGAATGAATGGTTGTGCCTAGCAGGGACCTGCTGCATGCACGCAGAAGCAGACCGCCTGCCCTGCTGTGAGTAACACAGTAGTAGAAGCCTTTTTGCGTTGCAGTGGTTGGGCATCACTTCCACTCAGCTTGGTGTGTCCCGGAGAGACCCTTCACTCCAGGCTGCAAAGCTGGCGGGCACCCAAAAGCTCTGCGTCCTCATGGACCGGGGCTTCTCCAAGGAGACAACTACTGAAGCCTTCAGTCCAGCGGAGAGGAGAGATCGAGAGAGCACCAGAGACACATTTCGTGAGATCTTTAATGCAACTTCTCCCACGTGCTCAAGAAACTATTCAGAGGACTTGATAATTGTTCTTGTAGTTCTTACGCCACTTCAGGACCCCGGGGATCCTGAAACACACTGGCACCGGGACGATGAAGCAGTCGGCCTCCCGAACCTTCATGAAGGCCTGTAATAATTCTTATTACTAGATTTGGGTTAGTGTTCAGGGCTTAGATGAACAGCCCGGTATCCACAGCCTTCAGACATAATTACAACATGACCTACAGCATTCTACAATGATATCCGCAGATAGAGAGTGCTTGCAGACCTGGTCCGCGCTGACACCACAAGCTGGCATTTTTGTCAAAAAGCACCTGGCTAGTTTCTGACATGACTGTGTCATGTTTTCCTCCAAAGCATGGTGGCGATAGCCCGCATGCAAAGAGCGCCAAGCCTCGGAGGCCAACGACAGTCAGTTTCTTACATGCGCCATCTCAAGGCTTTCCCCCCCAGGGACGCTCTGCCACTGTGCTCTCCCAAAGATCACCCCCCTGCCGCAGATACCGCAAGCTCACACCCGGAGGAAGACAACGATAAGCTCATGCGCACAGCAGCATGAAAACATCACCATGAAGCTATCGCAAGCCATCGCACCCGACAAGCCATTCCAGTTTTCCTGGTTGAGCTTTTGGTGAGGCATTCGTAGTTGTAGTTGCGAGAGATTTGCTAGAGATTTGCTAGGGAAGTTTCGACCGTGCTTGTGTAGAGCTGTGCCGATCAATTTGGCTTTTGGCAGCACGTGCATATACGCGCATACAGGCACCTGCAACACTTTGCTTGAGGCACTGTGCTCGTACGCTCACTCCTGACGGGCTGGTTCGTCAGGTATTCGGACTGTTCACGCTTGGATTCCTCTTGTGGCGATGGACAAAGACTTCGGCACTTTGCGTTGCTTGTCGCAAAAGCTTGCCAGATCTTGCGCATGTGTTGAGAGTGGCCATGCCTGTGTCTCTGGATCTTTGGTCCTCCCCATGCTGCAAATGTACTTACACAGATGTGCGGCAGTCCTATAGATAGATGATAACGATGCTGATGAAGCAGTGACTTGACTGCTGCCATCTGCACAGCTGCCAATTGGTTTCGGCCGCTTGCTGAATACACGCAAGTAGTACTTGGCAAGGATACCTCCTGGGCACGCATCGCAGAGAGCCTCCTGTCTGCAAGATGACTGACCAAGCATCTCATGTAGCAACATCCTTCAGTCAGTGGCAAGTTGCAATTGGAATCCTTCCAGTTTAGCTGTTCTGCAATGGAAAACATGAACGTGTCAGCCACTGTCTAGCTACTTCGAGGTACAACTGGTTCGAGACAATGCTTGCCTCTCTGTGGGGCTGGGAGTTTGCCTGGTTTCTCACGTCAAGGACGGCCCATATCCATAGGAGACTGTAAGTTCTCAGACAACACAGCCGCTTAGCTCAGCTGATAAATCTATGGGCTGGCCACGTGTCAGACAGTCACCGGCACAAAGTTGTTCTCGATGCGAGTTGCAATCCGTGTCTTCAGACGCTAGTTAATGTCTTTTGGAGCTGTATTTGCAGCAGTTGGTCGGCTGTGTAGGGAAACACCCACCGTGACAGGGTGGAGCAGGACGACCACTTGCACCTTGGCTGAGTCATCAATTGCTGCCTGAGACACGACAGCCTGATCTTTGGCCTTACCTTGCGCTTCATTGGCAAGAAGACCTTGGCACCTTGTGTACAGTAGCATCCACAAGTAGTCCTTTCGCAGTTCCAGCACAACGGCAGTCTACCATCTCCTGTAGGCCGCGGACTATCTCAACAGCTCTATAATCTATAATATGTCCCCAGATGTTTTCAATCAGCACCGACAGAACCCACTCTGGCCAGCAGGCAGTTCGGAGATGTGGCCTGGCACGACGGCTGGACCCTGCATTCAGCTGGCTCCAACAAGGTCATGCGTGGATATCTCATACGTCTCTCAATATTCAAGCATTTTCAAGTCCGTCTGTGGAAATCCCCCGCCCTTGAAAAACAGCGCAATTCCCATGGCAGGCATTCCGTGACAGGGACACATAAGCTTTAGGTATGCTTTGGACATCCTCAAACAATCAGATGACACCTGGAAGCTCGCTTCCATCGCCCTCCCACCTCCTCCTCGTTTGTTCCGCTTTTTTACATATTTTGAGAGTTTTTTATCGGCTTGACAGGCGGCTGCGGTCCGCAATGGGTTTGCCATAAGCCACATGGCGAGCACCATCAGAATGCCCATCCTCAGACCGTTTGTGCATGATGTGGGCTCTGGGCTCCTCACAGATCCAGTCGCCTTGCCAAGGTTATGCCTACTGTATCGATCCCCGTGGCTGCCGCGGAGCTACCGATCGGATCAATAGCACGGATGCGACCTGCAGGCTGAACTGCAGTTGCCAGAACACAGTTGAAAAGCGCAATTATGGCTTTTGTGAAGGGATACTGACGGCGGGATAGCGGGCACCTGGTTCTCTTCCAACTTTCTGCCAGCTGCTGGATGTGCTAAATGGAATTTTAAAACCTTGGACCATGTCATGTCCCCAGCCGGTAGCGGGGCAATGCGCGCACAACTGCTTTCAAGGGCTGACAAGATTCAAATGCAGCAGCTGATGCCAGACTTCACATGTTCTCCTGAATCTGTGGCCGTTTCGAGCTGTCAGCAGTAGCTCGGTTCTACGGTAGTCCCTGCGTCCCACCCTCGAATCGTACATCATGCAGCCTTGCGCACCTTGGACTGAGTGACGGCAGGGCAAGACCTCATGAAGCCGTGAGCCTGGAAGATATTATTGCAGACTTCTAACGCCAGATGCTGGCTAGAAAGGGCCACGTGGACCCTTTCTTGGAGCTTCATGCGGCTTAGTGACTATATGCGTCTAGCTGGTGTTCTAAGCGACTTATTGTTCCGTCGGTGCCCAGTTATATAAGTAGTCAACAAGCCCCACGAACCTGCGAGTTGGGAATGTTTGAGACCTGACGTAGGATCTCGGCCTTCTGCTCAGGATCCCTCTTCCGCCTTCTTCGGCTTCATGGGGGTGACATCGGCGCTGGTTTTCGCCAATTTGGGAGCAGCAGCTTGTTTGCATCCAGGTATTCCATCTCTTGGGCCTTGGTTCAGATGAATTGCTCTCAGGCCTATGGGACAGCCAAGTCGGGCGTGGGAATTGCCTCCATGGGTGTGATGCGTCCGGACATGATCATGAAGTCGATTATCCCCGTTGTTATGGCTGGCGTGCTGGGCATCTATGGCAGGCGCCTTAGGGTGCTCAGAGCCGTGCTGCATCAAGTTCTGCATTTTTGTGTAGAGCAACCCTAGCAACTAAGGCCTGATCACTGCAGTGATCATTAACGGCAAAATGGACGCGGCCAACTACTCAGCCTACTCTGGCTACGCGCACCTGGGAGCAGGACTCTTTGGCACATCGGGTGTTTGGCTTATCGGGTGTTTGGCTTTGTAAGCTGTTTATTTTGTTCCGGGATGTGTTTGCTTACAGCGTGTAGCTCGTAAATACAGCTGCAGAGAAAGAGCATGACAGGTGGGTGGGTGGATGCACCTTAATCCAGAGCAACCCACAATCCAAACTGATTGCCAGGGCTCACCGTCGGCATGAGCTCCCTGGCCGCTGGATTGGCCATTGGCATCGTGGGTGATGCTGGCGTTCGGGCCAACGCACAGCAGCCGCGCCTCTTCGTGGCTGGGCGCAAGGTTGAAAGCATTTTCTGTTGACAGCAGCTTACTGCGCGCTTGATCAGAACGAGGGATTCAGCGATTCAGCCTACGGAGGTTTCCATGACTGTTTGGCATGAGTCGGGTTGGCGGGCTACTGTCTTGGCCAGAGGGCTATTACTGTCAAATACTGTCAGGTTGGCATGATCCTGATTTTGATCTTCGCAGAGGTGCACGGGCCGCGCTGCCTGCAACGCTTTGTGTTGATTGCTTGAGTAGCTCTTGCTGCATCTTTGTGTTTCACAAGAAAACAAAGCATGCTGGCATGCGACATTTCCACAAGCAACGCTGGTTCTCGTAATCACCAGGCCCTGGGGCTCTACGGTCTAATCGTTGGCCTCGTCGTGGCATCCACGGCAGAAGGGATGCTCATCTGTACTTAGAGGGGTGCAAATTGCGGAGGTGGACCGAGGCATATCCATGAACCATGCAGGCTGCGCACGAAATGGTTGCACAAGACATGAGCAGTCATCACCCAGACATCAAATCGGCTTTGAGACGGCTGCTGCGCTATGTTAGCCAAGGAAGGGCAAAGGCCTTTGCTCGCCTTACGCCTGAGCCTTCACGCTATGCTTGATTCACGGGCAGTGGCTTGCAACAAGGAAAGCCATGCAGCTGTTGGAAAGAGTTCTCTTCAATTCCTTGTTGTTGCCAATTTGCCATGATTTTGCTTCAAGAGGAGCTGGAGGTTGCAGACCTTTTGTGGCGAACAGCTAGCTAGGCTAGGTTTTCATGTCTCAAGGAGATCACCCAATCGGCTATGTGCTGGCACTGTAGCGTGCTTGGGGAATGGCGCAGACAGCTTTCACACACAGGGTTTGTTCCAGTGCCTCGAAGTTTTGGCTGCTTGGCTTTTAGTGTGGCTCGCTGTTGAGCTGCAGCGCCACTTGGCAGGGCGGTCTTAGCTTAGAAAAGAGACTTCTCTGCGAACCCCGTGTCATTCGAATGCCAATGCTGTATGCCTCGTCATGTCACTCCGAAGCAAAGTTGCGGGATGATCTTGGAGCAGTCCATTGGAGTCGAACAGCTGTGAGGGCACGAGCTTCAAAACATGAGCTTGAGACTCACCTGTTGTCTGTCACAGACATGCCGCGGGGAGACAAAACAAGAGCTGACGGGAAGACTGACAACTGTCGAAAGTTGGCAGCTGCCTTGCCTTGCCAGCTGCACTGCAGCATCTCACTTTCCATGCAGGGGCGCAGACCTCCTCTTTGACAAGCAGTGGCGCGAGTCACACAGGACAAGTATTGAGATGTAGGTTGCCCGAAAGCTTGCGTGGTACAGAATGCAGATGAATGGAGAATCTCGGCCCCTCAGGAATGGAGAAAACGATTACTCCAAGAACATGCTCACAGAGCCGTTTGTCACTTGCTGGCAACAGTTCAGCGGTAGTTCAGCCCACATTCTCCTGTAGAATGTTAGGCTCCTTCACTGCCCTCAAGCTGCTAAAGTCTGGCCATTTGCCTGCTAGGGCTCTATCCGTTGCAGGTGTGCAGGTCAGTGCGGGCAGCTGAGGCTGTGCAGGCCGTTCGCTTCGTGCTGCGGTCGGTGGTGGGCGCGTCTTTTGGCCTCGGGCCCCCTGCTTGCAGTGAAGGGATTTGATGCTCCCGTAGCACCTTGTTGAATTATATTTCTCGCTTATAAGTTTCTGTTGCATTCGTTATGGCTCCTTGAGTGTGGATGGTGTCCGCCAGGATACATGCATTGTTCCAACGATGGATCGGCAAGAGTGACAAGACTGACTGAGCAGATGGTTGACTGTACAGCGCATGGCTGCCTTATTGAAACGCCAGCCAGCGTTTCTTGGGCAGACCAGACGTCTCTTCTGTTGTTAACACCAGTTTGTCTAGCCGCGGGTCCGTTTTCGTTCGTTCTACTCCAGGTGAAACTCGCTACTCACTAACCAAGAACCAAACATGTTGCCTCGAGCTGCCTTTCTGGATGTTAAGATTCCACGCCAAGCAAGCTTGGGACTTGAAGCACAGCTGAAAGCATGGCTGTGCCTTCAGGTCGGTAGCATCCAGTAGCGCTGCACCTAGAACCCTTGATAGGGGACTCATGGTGCCAGTGACAGACTCAGACCCAGGGCTGTGTGCCACAAAAAGAGGAAATCATGGCCAATGGCGAGTCCCTGCGGCTCTGGACGCTGTGGGTTTTGGAACCAGGAGACGAGAAGGCATGACTTGGCAATCCGTACAGTAAGTCCACGAAGTTTCTGGCCATCAGCCTGTTGCTGGAGCAAGGGTTTTCTGACAGGCTTGCAATCAAGCCCTTCCGCATTGTTGCTACTGTAGCGGTTGATGTACGTAAGGGCACGACTGCTTGGACTGCTTTAAGCTGCTGACCCTGGCCCAGGCTCGGGGTACTCAATACTGAGCTAGCGCTCTACAGCATGGCGGTGTGCTGCTGGCTGGTTGGCACATGTCAAATCCGAACATCAGGCTCTGCTTCGGGCATTTTCTGGACCAAGGCTTTTCAACAGCCAACCGTCTTTCAGCTTCAGTCGTCAATCCGTCGGAAGTTCTTCTCATCTCCACCTGCCAGGGGCAGTGGCGATCTAGATGCTGCCGCGTCGTATAGAGACTATGCCAGCAGATGCCTCATCAAAGATGCTTCCGCTTGCCTTGCTTCTGCATGTGTCTGGCACGCGTTGAATGACCGCAGAGAGTGTGCTGTTGGTTCAGGGCTTGTAGCTTCCGCAGGCCAGAAACTTCGGGCGCTGCCGTTTCGCGCGCTGATCGGCCGCCCTTGCCTTTTTCACATCTGGTTTGCTGGTATGATCGGGTACGTATTCAGACTGGAGATGGCAGGATCTCGTTGGCCATTGTTTGCCTTACTGGTGCCAAGCTCCGAGCAAGCTTCAGCGCACAATGCCGCGCCTGCCAGGACTGTGAATGCATGAGCTTGAACGCACGCAGGCTCACTGGCAATCATCCCAAGACATGGGGCGCTGTGTGTCAGATTGGACGCTACATTACAGTACTGCTTCCTGCCTACTTACTCTGCATGAGCCCCTGATCAAGGTCTGATCATTTGCGTCAGACTGCCCCAGCAGCAGGCCCTTCTGGCTTTTAATCAGTAACAATGGCAGCAGCAATCATTATGAAATAAATTCACGCGCCCAAGCCTGCTAAACTCAACATGCAGCCAAGATGACCAGCGGCTGACGGTCACCCTAATTTCCAACTAACACGTTATCACATCAGGTGGCCGGCTGAGGGTCACCCTAGTGTACACGTCATCACATCAAGGTGACTGGCCGACGGTCACCCACCAACCGAGAGCTCCACGAAATTGCCGAAAGTAGCAACAGTGTGACCAACACTCAAGAAGAAGGAAGTACAAAAGCCTCTGGAATCTGCTGTTGGGCATCTAGCACGTAATCAGCACAGCTACACTGTGACGTGCTCTGACGCCCTGTGCCCTTGCTTCTCAAATTTGATATAATATTTGATAAACTATCAGTGGGAAATTAGGTCGGGACTCCGGTCCCGCTGGTTCACATTGCATCGGCCACCTGTTCCGTTTGGTTACACGTGGCGCCGGTTACCACTACACAGGGGCCAGCTTCGTTACACGGTCCCCAGTACGCTCGCTTGCGACAGGCAGTCCCGACCTGGCCAATGACACCGTGACAAACTGCGAGCATTTGGAGGAGCCCGCCACAGCCCTGGGCGCAGCAGGACGAGGTGCATTTCTAGCTTGATTGTCAAGGCCGCACCAACGCAGTCTTCGTCTTTGCCGAGGCCCTGAACTGGCGAGGCTACCTGGAGGCCTTCGCCAGCGATGTGCTGAAAGACTGGCATCTCGGTAGCTTGAGCGGTGATTATAGCATTTTGTGGATTGCGGCTGCTGAGGACGACACAGTCAGTGTTGCAACAAGCACGTGTTGATAAGCTGGCAGGGTGTTCTGAAACTGCAACATTGTGCCTATCAAAATGCATTTTCGCATCTTTGTCAGCGTTAGTCAGCTCCCTGTTGCACATTCGGAGAGGATACGATCAACGAGCTCCTGCAGCTGCCTAGCAAACTGAGAGCACGTGAGAGCCTGCCGAGGTATGAGAGTACCATCCGCTACGTCTACTCTTGGCAGATGACGCAGATCCCGCAGGCACGTTGCAAGGGATCGGAAGCAAACAGCATCTTCAAAGCTTGTCCACAGCCGTATGCCGCTGTTCATCGACAACCTGCAGATGATAAGCGCCCGAAGTATTGATGATGGGGTGGACTGACATTGGGGATCATTGGAGCCTCTGAGGAGCTATTCAGAGAATGCCCCCTTGGCTTCATCACGACAATGCTCATCAAGGTGCGACCTTATAATTCGCCATAGCTGTATAGGACAGCATCATCAACATGTGAGACGAACACGGCAGTGGCACTAACGTGTTCGACAATTAGTATCGCCTAGAATCGTAGTAAGTTAGTGTCAGTAAGTCGTTGCCGAGTGCCGCGGTGTGTACTTATTGGCGATGTTTGCTTCCGCGGTCATATTCCAGACACCCGATGGTTTTGCAAAATTGAACCGTTTGGCCGCAACTTGGCCTTTTTGAGAAATGCTCCACAGACATGCCCGGGCGCAGTTCTAGGTGGAAATTTCACATTGCTGAATGCAGCTAGGCGTTCACCTGTGCCACAACTGAGAGCAGCTGCTTCGATGGATTTGCCAACGAGGCCAGAAGCGCAAAAGACGCATTTGAGAATGGCGACATACGTCGGCATGTGCCCAGGTCGAAGGTTTTCTAAAGTCCTCGCCGGGCTCTCGTTTCAGCAAGGCGGGGGGTAACCAACACCTGCTTCGTGCGCGAGGCCGCACATGCTCGAGATTCTCGCCCACAGTCTTTGCCTGAAGGGTCTCAGCATGTGTCCAGATTTAGACGGTACTGTGGATCTCATGATATCTATGGCAATCTATGGTGTAGATATGTGGAGCTCCACCGTGGCAACGTTACGAATCATGCTAGTAATGGACATGTACTGTAGCAGTCTGAGGCAGGTGGCCCCTGGCCATGCTGATCAATTTCATGGTCGGATGCTTGGGTTCTGCACCGCCATTGGGCCTTGGTACGACTCCTTGAGGCCTACTTCATGACATGATGACGTCATCCGTACCCAATGGACCTGCTCTCCATCCCATTTGGTATGCATCCATTTGTTCGGTATAGCTGGTAAGCCCCAGTCAGCACAGGCCAAGTCCACCCGGCACCAGTACCACCTGGACTTCAATGAGGCGAGGCACTTCATGTGAAAAGCACTGGTCACGAGTAGTCACTACCAGGCTGGGAGATTCCTTATTGTTTTGAGGTTGCTGTTGGTGTTGGCTCACGGCGACGCAAGGCAGAACTTTCCGGGAGCATTCGGCTCTTGCAGGAGGAGCTGTGGCCTCATCTTTACATTGCCGCGGCAGAGCAGTCAGGCGATTACAAGCTTGCAGAGGCCAGTGAGCCTGGGGATGATGGGTACATGGCTGGGGACGCTCTACGAGGACGGAATCCCAGTTGCTGCCATGCAGCCCGCATTGGCTAACGAGGTGCTTGTTAATGTGATGCGCGCAGGTCTGTCAGTCGTACAGAGCCTTGACACCAGTTTCATACAGTACCTACGACTTACGACCTTGTGGTGGTGTCCCCGAGCTGGCATTGCCTTTCCCTACTTGTAGCAGGATTTCTAATTGATCTGCTTTTTGGCACCTGCTCGTTGTGTCTCTCTGGCGTGCGTTGAGCAGGAGCATTCACAGAGCTCCTCAGATGCAAAAAACAAGTGTCTTGCACAAAGTGCCGCGCTCATTGCACATTGTGGCAGATGAGGCTTCCGTGACCTGGTAGCTGCGCTCCCAAAGCTGGGGCGAGCTTGGGCAGAGGCGTTGACTTGGTCAAACACCTTCTTGTATGTCATGCTTTGTGAATTTAATAGTTGATTTAAGTCCCATTTATCAGGGAGTCTTGCTTGTTCTGTTGGCTCGCCGCCTTGGCTGGTGGCTTTCCTTAGCTTTTTCCGTGAGGAGCTGGTACTGTTTAGGTCCGGTAGCGTTCAGGGTTGCGAAGGTTGAAGAGGTCTCGTACTTCGGAGAACTTGGCATAGTGCACCGCCACGTTCATGACAGAGTTCAGGAGTTAATTACTGGCCCAGACATGCGGTGATGTCAGAAAGGGTTTGAAGTGCAGCCGAGCCTGCCTTTAACACCCTGAAGCAGGCGCCCAACCTGGTCTATGTCACCATGATCTACGGCAAGAAATTCAACAGGCAACGCAAGTGTGGCACTTCAGAGGGAGCAGATGGAACAGCTGAGTGTGCAAGATGGATGATACCTGCGTTGGTCCTGCATGTGTCAGAAGGTCACGGACAAGCAAAACCAGCCGCAGTACATGACACATATGACACCAACAGGTGCACAAACCTATCGGAGCATTCCGATGCCCGCCAGCTACTATGGCTTGCTTCCATTATCCAACCATGTCGTGCTTGAAGGCACTTGCGGCGCTTTTGTGCCCGTGCCCGATCACTTGGACTTCTCGGGGAGCGACTGCTTTTGTTCACGCCGGGGTCCCAGGATATCTTTGTATCCCCTTGCTGTGGACTTGCACTGGATCGGAGAATCCTTGAGGTTAGACCAGGAAGCCTTCGAGCTGCTGGGTGCCAAGATGCCCCGGCAGCGCTCAGCAAGATAAATGCATTCTATCCGGAGACAATTTGAGTGTTCAAGCTAAAGGGATCCACAGCTGCCTATGAGAGAGCATGTATGTGTCAGCTAGAGTGAGGTGTACACAGGTCACGCGGTCGGAGGGAGGCTCCCAGTAAACATGCCGAACCGAGACTAACCACTGACTAGAAACAACATCTTTGCGGATGAGAACCGGCAATTCAGCGAATTGCTGGTACTCGTATCTACAAAGTAGGACAGGGCAGTAGGATGAATATCATTATATTTAATGTTATCTCCCTGATTGACCTTACGGGTCAGCTTTGATCCTCCCAGGTGTCTCCAAGAGAACGGCCAGAGGTGCATCCGAGGACCCAGCTAGATTGTGGGTTCAAGTTTCGGAGGCCGAGCAGGCTAGTATTCCAGATGGTGAGCACTTTAGCAGCATTGCACTTACCAATTCTCTTATGATACGAACTCCTGGGGCGTCAACAAACCGCTCGGTGGCACAGGAACTCCTTCCATAGTGAACAAGTTCACACTGCCTTTGATGTGCGCGCGTCTGGGGCTGGACACTGTGTGCTGCCGGCTTGCTTCCCCTTCCACGCACCCAACACAGAATTGAAATGCACTGCCCTTCCTTCCAATCGACCAGAAGCAGTTTTGTCCGGCAGCCAGGTGGATCGACTTGGACGTTTTCCTTATGGCCGATCCAACTCCAGCTATTCTGGAACACGCTGCGTCGGAACCTCTCGGTCATGCCACCTTCAGTGATTTGAGTTCTGTGCTGGTGCAAGGCGGGGACCACACGACCTCTTGGTGTCTGGCTCGTTTGAGGCCACGGCGCCCTTCCATCACAGGGGGTTTCAAGTAGAGCGACCGCCATCCACAGAAGCCTAAGATTTGTTTCCATGGTTCCGATGCCGACAAGGCGGACTGCATTTGTAACGGCATCGCCCGATTCTCAGGCAAATGTGTCAAGGTTGTTTGATTCAAATCTGCAGCTCAAATACATGCTCCATATCAACTTCTCCACGCAAAGCAGAACGTGACAAGGTATACTTCCGCGCTACACGTGTCATTGTGGACTGGCTGCTGGCCGTCATTGCCACGGCCACAGCTCGGTACCTGCTGGTCGACGAAAGGACCAGTTGGCTGGCAAACAGTAGTGCATCCTGAGGGAGCCTCAGGTTTGGATGTACCATCATCCCTACGAGCATGACCAAAAGATGCTTGGCTGTAGATCAGTGTGTTTGTGTTTGGACGATGGGGAGGTCCAGTATTTGCATCAGCCATGCCTAAGGCATGTGAAGGTGGCAACAGCATTTGTGCTGGGACTGGCACGCCTGATTAGATTCGAGCACCTGTCACATCCTGTCACCACGCATTTGGTGTGTCGCTTTGAGCCATATGCCATGAGTACAGTCACAGATGCATGTGGAGAGGAGAAGGTCGTTTAGGGCAAGAAGCTACCGGGATTGCTGCTGATTTTCCCAGCTTGCCAGCCGCATTCTTGGGTTGATAATAGTGAACAGCTAGCTTTTTGCTTTGCTGCGCGATGCCATTATGTGCCAGAACTTTGACACCGAGACATAAACACCGTCTGGCGCAAGCCTCCTCGCAAGCTCAATCTTTTGTAGTCGGAAAGACGTCCCAGACCAGACCAGGAGCGCGGCAAATCTGGAGCCGCATGACATTCCATCATGCACCAAGGACCTTCAGCGCGTTTCTCAACTACACTGAGAGGGTCACCAAGGACTGGCAATCTTCAGACCTGGCAAGGGCGTCTGAACAGGGTTAGAGTTTGCAGGTGAAACGGTCTAGGGAAGCTCGTTGGTCACAAAACGGACTAGCGCTGAGTGCGCAATAGCTGCAAGATGCGAACCCACATCTGCGATCCTACGAGTAGTGCCCTTTTTCTGTTGGAGAGTGGACATTGTGTGCTACACATGCTTCCGTCCGAAGTGGAGCGGAAAGCACTCGATTGACTCATTTTCCACTTGTCCCCGCAAGCGACAGCCAGTAGATGCAGTGGACAGAGCCAAGCACTCTCCTGAACAGTGATGTTTTGGTCGTGCAGCTTCGGCCAAGACGCGCAGGATGACTTGGACTTGCCAGAAATTCCGTCATGGGCTCCAGCCTCGGAATGTACTGCAGCTTGTTGAGGACAGAAGCGGCGGTTGGGCAGCGGCATTCATGAACGGGCTCAGACGTTTTGTACAGATGTTGATGCCAAGTGGGCCTGTGTTTGCCTAGTACGCTGGACAAGTGCCTCACGACTGAGAGAGGGCTGTACATAGCGAGACTCAGGACACCTTGGACCCCATCAATCAGTTCGTGACACCAGACACTTTCGAGGGTAACGGGTGGCACCTTGGCATGCAAGTCTCGTCTTGACATGCATGTTTCTATCAGCGTCTCAGCCACACAGCTTGGTAGGGTTCAGAGCTCATGCACGTCAGAAGTTGTGGGAAGCTGCATGCTGAATCGGGAGGACGGGCGACTTAGACAAGATCCTCATCTACCACTTCCTGAATGGCTTCTTGGCATGAGGTTCATTTGTATTTCCTCTCCCCGGGCTTTCAACAGCACCATGTTCCAATCACCTATAAAGTTGCACGTATGTATGATTAAAGCGCGTGTTTGTTCTTCCCAAGTGTTGGATTCTTTCGTCTTGTGCTCGCATCGCTTGCCGGGAAGGTGCGGTAGGTGCAGGTCAGGTCGCACAAGAAGTTCTTCATGCAAGTTCCTAAGCAGGGTAGCGAGTACATGGACAGCAGGTCTAAGCATATCATGAGAAGTCGAGCAATTAGTGCCTCCTAGTCTCCACAGTGCCATGGCATCCACGCTCGCGAAGTGCCGGCCCTACCTCCAGCGAGCTGAGGAGCTTGCGGGGCATGAGCCCGCCGTAGCGTATTACTGCCGCTTGCATGCCATCGAGCTGCTGATGCGAGCCCATCAGAAAGGGGAAACCTCCCCAGAAGAGAAACAGTTGCTCCTTGCTGAGCTACAGAAGGCAGAAGACATCAAGAAGGCCCTCAACATCTCAAGCACTGATGGCCAAGCAACTGCAGAGTCCTTTGCCTTGCGTGTGTTCGATGCTGCTGATGCAGCGGACAGATCTGCAAACGACAAAAGCACTCAGGCTGCTGCAGTCAGCAAGCTTTATGCAGCAGCACTTTTCTTGGATGTGTGCGCCCAATTCCATGACGGGGAGCTTCCTCCGGATCTTGCTGAAAAGGCCCGCTACGCCAGATTCAGAGTTGTGCAAATCCGGGAAGGCTTAAAGCAAGGCATCCCCTCCTATCCAGCCGCGGCTGAAGCTGGGGCAGAGACACAGGCCTCGCCGGCGTTGCCTATTTCTGGCTATTCAGCAAGCTCCGCGGCCCCTGCAGGAGTCGTGGCGCCTCCCGCTGTCCAGATGCCTGTTTCGCAGCCTCCGCAGCCCGCGCGGCCTGCATCCTCGGCAGTGCCAAAGCCAAGCATCACCGGTGCCGGACGAGACGAAGCTCGCAAACAGCTCGAGTTGGCTGTATCAGCCCTCGATTTCCGAGATGTTCCGACAGCGCGGAAATGTCTGGAAGAAGCATTGCGACTTCTCGGCTGACAGGGCTAAGCAGTCAGCTTGTTTCACTATGCCTCTATCCGGATTCTTGAACAGAGGGGCGTGGAGAAACAAAAGTGGTGCAAAGGGTCATCCTTAAGCAAAAATTCACCTCACGCGCTGCTGTGTTCCTTGGGGACAACAGACGCCTCAGGTGAATCCGACACAGGGTCAGGACTGGATCCCAGCGGCACGTGGCCAAAGCCTCAGCTTCAAGACAAGGGCGGTCAGGTAGAGGTCTTCAGCCGCTCTCAACGGTGCACAGAAAAAGTTGTTGTTCTGTTGCAGCATGTTACTTGTAGCGCCCAGGATCTGTTCATCATAGATTGCAACTCAGGGGCCTGGCAGTGTGGGAATGGTAAAGGCTTGAAACGCAGACATGTTTGGGGGCGAGGGACCCTGTCCAGGAATGCTGGGAACCGGAAAGTCTGGACGCAAGTAAACAATCTTCCATGACTGGACCAGCACTTCAAGATGAAAAGCCAGAGATTCGTACAGCATGGGCTGCTGGTTTGTTGACGTACTTGGTGTCAACCATGTATCTAAAACGCTTCGTCCAGGGTTCTATTGGGCCTACACCTATCACCATGATGAAGGTGAAGAAGCACAGAGCGGAAATGCATTGCAACCCGATCAGGGTGCGGCAGCATGGACACTTCACTGACGCGGGCGGCGCTGCCCCAGGGATGCTTGGCTGCTACAGCCGGAGGCAATCTGTTTTATTTTGTGTCTTGCCTTTTTGTTTTCTCCGAGCCTTGATCAACCCCAACGACTACATTGAGAAGCACTCCATATTACCAGCATAGTCCTGCAGGATCCCAGGGCATCCTGAAGAATCTCTGAACAATTCCCCACACAGTCTTAAAATTGCAGCCCAGGAAGTGCAACAGCGAATCCTGCCAGCGCGGCAAGGCTGGCAACTGCACTTCATCATTTGAGCAAGGAAAAGCCTAGCTATAACAGGTAATATCCTCGAAAGGTAATATCCTAGAGTGTCCTAAAATCAACCATTCTGCATAACAAGGTGGTCTCGTACTATGACCACTTACTTCATTGCATGGGGCTAGGATCACTACTCTAATTGCTCGTAGGCCTCCTATGCATATCTTAGTCCGACGTTCGTTCCCTCGGCCAACTGTCAGTTCAACCTGTGTGTGGGGTTCGTGTTTTCTCTCGAAGTTCAGCACTGCAAAGGCCAGCAATGTCTTGTTTCAGATCCCAGTCCAGCTTGAGACGGTATATGCAAGTGCTGGTGGGATGCCTATCAAAAACTAAGTCATAAGTCATAAGCAACAAATAATTTGATTGTGGTTTAAAAGACATTGAATCATAACCAAAGCAAGATTATTCCACTTGCCAAATATGGACAGTCACAGGGATCCTGTGGTCCGGGTCGCGATCCTCGCCACTGTCGTCGCTTCTGGACCCTCAAATCTCCTTGGAGAGAGAAAGACCAAAGAAAGTAGCCCGGAAAGCAAGAAAGAAAGTGAGTAAGCAAGAGGAACAGGAAAGCAGAAAGCCCGAAACAAAGAAAGAAGCAAAAACAATAAGTAATGGCCAGCAAAACCTGAGCTTTCAGAGACAAAATTGGCTGGCAAACCCTGAGCCTTGACAAGAGATGTTGGCTGACAAGCCCTCACTCAAGTAGCAATGTAAACCTGGGAGGAACCCTTATCAGGAAATATGCATGTCCTCTGTTTGCAGTAAGGGAATGTTAGGCAGATCAATTCATGTGAAAACGCGGGTCTGCGCGGCCTCGCAACCCCCCACTTTTTGAGGCCATCCACGCTTGCCATTAACAAAGGAGTATCAAGTCATCACCATGTTTGCAGTAAAGGAAGGTTGTGCGGATCATTTAGTTTGCAAAATGGGGGGGCTCCGCCCCCCCCAAACCCCCGCTTTTTAAGGCCATCCATGCTTGC